CAGTGAAATATTAAACAACTCACAGCTATCACATGCTTGTTTTTCCATCATCTCTCCACAGGGAGAAGTATGTGCAGAGGAGTATTTTCTTTTGGATTTTTGTTGTGTGTGTGTGTGTGTGTGTGTGTGTGTGTATACTAGACATATAAAAATCACATAGCAACATATATATATATAGATGTATAAATATATCCCTTTTACTGGGGCAAAGACATATGCAGTAGTTTCTGCATCCCACTAAGGTGTTTATTGAAAGAAATTGTAGACTATTTATCTAGTAAAAAAAACCCAAAAAGCTGTTCTCTAATTTCCTTTCTACATCAAGGCTTGAAACAAACGAGTGAAAGTCTAACTGATGCCTCTAATCAGACCCAATCCACCTGAAAAATGCACTGTATATTATTTCTTTGTATTGTCTGTGAGTCATTTTAGCCAGCAACTTTCAACTGGAAGCCATCTATTTCACACTGGATTTGCTGTCTTTTCTCATAGTTTTTGAAAGAGTGTGTTTGGCATCAGATCTAGAAAGTGTTTAACAGAATATCTAGCTTGTGGGAGCTGCTCTCTCTCTATTCCTGACAGGTGGTCCTTGCTAAGGAAAATCAGACAGGAAAGCTGAAGATTCAGCCTACCAGTATTCCTGGTAAAAGCCCCCAGTGACAAGCAAAATTACCTGTTTTTGTTCTTTATTGAATGTTTTGTCACCATGCAAGGAAGAGCTCCTTCAAGAATGTATGCAAATTGCCAAAGGTGGATTTAATTGAACATGATACTGAGGTTCATTTCATTTAAAAAACTAATGGTATTATGAAATAACATGTAAACACTTCACATGGCCAGCCTTCACTAGCACACATTCTGCTTCCCACTTCTATATGATTAATTAATTGGTAAGTGAACACAAAGCATCTATTATGCATAAATATCAAGTCTGGGGTAGATGTGGGAAGAGGAATTTAGATCATTTAGAAGTACATTAAATGTTAGTGACTTCTCATTGTTTAGCTATAAATAACTATTAAAAATGAACCTGTGTTTGTATGTTGTTCTACCTCAAAAAAAATGCCTTATGTAATGAGAATTAAAAGAATTTTAAATACCTCATGATTATAAGCTGACACAGAAACAAAACCAAGACTCTTTCTATGTCTCCATTAGGGCTGTGCAAAATTTCACCGGGTGTTTCGTTTCGATGCTGTTTTGGCTCGTTTCCAGCTGAAAACAGCAAAATTGAAACAAAACTAAAGGCTTCAAAACAGCCTTGAAACAAAATGAAGGCACGCAAAATGTTTTGAGTTTCAAAGCTGGGCTTCCTTGCAGGGAAACAGAAAGTAAGGATAGGGAAGGGGAAGAGGGGGAAGGATTGCTCTCATATTGACTGTGTAGCTGGCCAGTGACTGTGATACTTCCCTGAGGTCCCTTCCAATCCCAGTGCTCTGGGGGAGGGATGGAAAAAGAGCTGCACCTTAACACACACACACAGTCACACGTCACAAGTTTTGCTTGTCAGCAGCTTGAGGTGAAGTTTCCCAGAAACCCCTGCACCTATCTCCTTGAAACTTGGCAGACTTTGTGGCCTCAGCAGGGGCTACCATTGCAGCAAGTTTCATCCAAATCAGGCAAGAAATAACAAAGTTATAGGCAGTTTCGTGCTTCCCCATTATAGCCTATGGGTGACATGTCGAAACAGCGAAACAGTTTCAGTGAAACAAAACAAAACAGTGCTTTCAAAATGAAAAGAAACTCAAAACACTGTCCTGTCAAAACGATAAAATGGAAGTCGAAATGAAGTGGTGCTGTTTTGCACAGCCCTAGTCTCCATACATTTACAAAATAAATAATTACAGCCCCTTGCACTCACACCCATAGGCAAGCTCCAAACTCAGTTCAGTGTCATTCAGTGCCAAGCTTCAAACAAATCGAAGCAAACCTACTTTAGTAAGCTAAATCTAAAAATTAAACAAAACAATATTGAGCCTCTGCTCTGGACACACTCCACAAAAAGACCCTTGAGTGGTCGGACCTGAAAGAGTGCAACAATAAATGGTCCGTTCAGTACTGAATGACTGAGGATTCCTCTTCTCCAAATAAACGCTTTCCCAGGAAAGGAGCATATGTGTTAGCATCAGCCATTGAGGATTGTGACCATGCTCATGTTGAGCAAGTAATAGGAAAAAGAGCGAGCCAACAGATAATATGTGCCAGTTTTCACAGGCTCACTAATGCCTCTAGACCTCTATCAGGGTGTCTATGAAACTGCAAGGGATATTTTTCATTCTAATCTACAAGCATGACTCCAAGTCTCATTTCTAAAAAGTGGGCTTCCAGAAACAAACTTGAGTCTGTAGGGGAGGCTGGAGGCTTCTGTTATTTTACAAAGAAAAACTGCAGCTAGAGAGGCCAGGCAATGGCAAAGCCCTGCTGCCCAGACAGGAAAGAGGCCCATCCAGGTAAAGGGTTGCTCCCACTGTTTGTCAGGAGATCTCTGCCTAGGGCAAGCTGGCTGCAGGGGAAATAGGCAGCGGGAGACCAGTGGCTACCACTGCTTACCACAGGCCTGGCAGCCCACAATAAGCCTAACTGGAGCAGCAGGAGACTGCTAGGGCTGCAGTTCTAAGTCGGCATTGCAAGCAGTCAATAGGTCCTGAGGAGGAACCCCTGAGGGTGGTTAGGGAGCCACCTGACCCAAAGAGAGCTGAGCTTGAATCATATGAGCCCAGGGCCTGAGCTGGCCGGGCAGTCTAGGCCTGCAAGCCACTGGATGAAGATCTCTGTGCCAGAAGGACTGCAGAGGGATGCCAGACTGATGTTAGAGCAGCTCTAAGGACTGCCAGCCAAGTACTGGTGTCTTGCAGAAGAACACGGTAAGGGGAAGCCTTGCTGAAGGCAGTAAGCTAGAACTCTAGTGAGACAGGTATCATTTGCTATACGTAGAGCAGGTTAATTTTATATTACAGACAGTGCTCGTTCCCTTTGTTACAGTTTATAATGAGTGGTTTGGGTTTGGGACTTTCAGGAGATGGAGGAAGTCCCAATAGGTACTGAGGACACACGGGTGTCCTGAGCCCACTGGGGGTCCAAGACAGAGTGAGCTTTGGCCTAAAAGCAGGCAGCAGTCAAGAGAGAACCAATGGAGGCTCAGTGCCCAGAGGAAGGCAGAGGCAGGGCCAGGGGCCCAGGCAGAGAGAGCCGAAGGAGGCTCAGTGCTTAGAGCAGGACGGAGAATGCCCAGAGCAGGGCAGACACAGAGATGAAACCCAGAAGCTTGGTCTGGCACAGTGGAATAAAGCTAGAGGGTCCAGCAAAAGTAAAGGGGCAGAGGCCAAGAAGACTGAGGCCCCGACAAGGGAACAATTGCACAGTAACATCTGCAAGGCATAGGCATAGCATAATGAGTGGTTGGAGCCGTGTAATTAGCCCTTCAGGCTGAGAGCAGAGACACCTGAGCTCAGGAGCCTGAGATCAGGCTTGGGAAGCCCTGGGACAGCCTCCCTCTTTCTAAAAGATAGCAACACCAAGGTGTAGCAGTTGAGTAAAGGGGAGATTTGCCAACCTAGCTTTCTTTGGGCAGAGCTGAGGGGATTCCAGGGGCATCACAGCTACCCCTGGAGCAGAACCCCCTACAGGGGAGGAACAGGTTCCTAGCAGTGAGGCATCAGAAGTAATTTGGACTTAACCGCATGATTAATATTTTGAATATTATGACCAGTAACATGGCACCTTCCCTTCCGCCCTACCCCTCCATCCCCCAGAAAGAATAGGGTCCATGTATCTCTACTGCTGAAAGGCTATTTCAGTCCACAGCACTGTCTTATCTGAGAACCAAAACATTTTGGACCAGTTCTTATTCAAGAGGCCCTTGATATTTTCCTCTTTCAGTTTATTAAGAGCTATAAGAGGTTATGCTTTGTATGAGCTGGAAACTCTCAGTCTCAGCTAGACTTGGTAGTATCTGCAAAGAATAGTGAAGGTTATTTTGATGCGTCATAACTCATTTTTCATTTCTGATGAGTAAAAATAATCTTGTCAATCACCTCTGTTCAGCAAACGCATGGCCCTCTCTGTGAGGGCATGCTTTCACTGATGCACAGCTATTTCTTCCTGCTCTCTTCTCTGAACACACACTTCATTAATATGCAGCAGGCCTTGCTGCCAAGAAAAAAAAAACCATCTTTCTCAAAGGGTATGCATTAGTGCAATATTTTCTATCCACAGTCTTTTAGACTGATGATTTTTGTTACGCAGCTGGGCATTATTATTAAGCTAGCACCTATGGTCCTGTAGCAGTGAATATTTTATAAGAAACATGGCAGAGTCAAGTCTCCACAGACTTTTACTATCACAAGGAAATGTCTAGTACATGCAAACAAGGATAGCAGCTGCTGTCCCCTACATGCTGATTTCAAGTGGGGGGAATCAATCTAATAGACCACATGCTTTAAAATTACACCATCCAGCGCATGTGGCTTGGACACCTGAAAGTATGCTTGCCAAAAAGCCTGTACACTCTATGGCTAGGGACAGAAGTTACACATAAACCAGTTTAAGTGATCAGAAACTGGTTTAAACTTGTAACAGAACAGAAGCTTAGTGCACATAAACCAGTTTCAAAATGGCTGAAACTGGCTTAAGATAAACATGGCTGAATGTAGCATCAGACTTAAATGATTTGGGTTAAACCAGTTTATGAAAATTCTGTCCCAGACCCCATCCTGGTTCAAATTAAATCACAGCCCCCCAGCATCCCAGTATGCTTTGCAGCTCTGGGCTGTGCTGTGTTGTCTGCTTCAGACAGCAGGGCTGGCCCCGCCCTCTGCTCCCTAGCTGGACCAGCAAGGGCTGGCTGACAAGGCGGGGAGGGAGGGGAGGAGGAGCAAGTCTGGCTGGAGATGCAGCCCAGTCTGCAGGCGTGGGGGGACTGTCTCCTCGGGCAAACCCCAGCTGGGGTCTGAGGCTAGGGATGGGGGTTAAACACCCCTTCCCTGACTCAAACTTACCACTGGCTGCAACTGTGGACTACAAATCCCAGAGGCACCTGGAAGCAAGAAGAGGAAGTTATGAGGAACCCTGCAGAGTCCTGCTGCTGTAATTCTGGACTGCAAATCCCAGAGACCTCAGGGGCAGCAGAAAGAGGAAGTGAACACACAGACAGAGAGCCATGCTCTTGTGCCCCCCCCTACCCCCGGCTTCTCACCTGAGTCTCTGCAGGTATGTGGCTGCATTTTTTGAATCAAAGGTGAAAGTCTGTTTGCTTCTGTTTCAATTTAATCTGTGCAGTTTAAACTAACCTGCAAAGACTGAATTGATTCAGCCTCAGGCTTTTTGACTGTCTGTACTTAGGCTAGGGGACAACCACTGCTCTTTGTGGTCTCTTTTCTCTGTTAATTTCTGTGGAATTGTAGATTAACTCCTGTAGACACCGATGACATTTTGTTCAGTCCTTGCTATTCCTATCCCCGTTCTCTTCTAGAAAAGTGTTGTGTGAAGACAAAAGGCAGGTTTGGACAATACACAGTATGGGAGCTCTGATTCCAGACTCTCCCTTTTCAGCACCCTGTGCCCACCTGGGAGTTCTGTCTCCCAGATTTTAACCTGGCAAAAAGATGAAATCCTCTCTCTGCCTGGTGGATGTGTCTGAGGCTTTGACTGCAATAGAAAGGCAGCATGGAAGGCAAAACACTAGGGCTGTGTGAAGCTTCAGGTGCTGATTCAATTCGGAGATTTAACCCAATTCGGTAGCTGAATCTCCGAATCCGAATTGAATCAGGAGACCAATTAAAAGGTGCAAATTGATTCAGCGAGCTTCGGCAATTCAGGCAGTCCCTGCTCACTGCAGCAGGGAGCTGGACCCAGACTCCATGCTTCTAAGTAGTCTGGAGGGGGGGACCATGCCTGCTTCCCCAGCCCCCCTGAGTGTCCCCAACCCCGCCCACTGTCCCAGCCCCCCCACCCCCCAT